CCTCCCCCCCCCGCCCCTGACATCCCCACCCTGATTGGTAAAGGAGTCCCCCACCAGCTGGGCCCATTTGCTGCTGATTGCCAGGAAAGTGAAAAACATGGAATATTTAAAACTTTGGTTTTTGCTTCCCCAGAGATCAGCAGCAAATGCCCTGGCTGGCAGGGCCCCTCCACCAATCAGGGTTAGGGAGGCAAGTAGTGAAATGGAAAATATTAAAGGAGCTGCTACAGGGACACTTCCAGTGCAATTTACAGAGATCCCTACTTATGGTATGCAATAGAAAATATCTTTGCGGTAACATTTTTAAAAACCTGGAGGAATAATATCTCATCTGCACTGTTTTATCATATAATTTAACATGGTCTCATTCTCTCAAATTATCCTAGTGCCTGGACTAATTTCTATAGAATTCCATTTAACTTTTTTGTCTAATTCAATATTAAGTTTTATGGAAAACAGCTCCAGCAAGTGACTTAGGTTAGGCAAGGTACACTTCTAAATTTAGAGTATCTTCAAACTTTCCTAACGTACCTGCCTACATTACAAATCTGAACAGTTAAATCTTTCGCTCTCTAGAATTTTTGTAGCTGCCATACAAAACAGGTCACTTGGCTCCCATTTAAGATGCACTTTAACTCAAATGGAAAAACACCAGCAAGACTGGGAGGGAGGGCTGGGGGAGCAGGGGGCTGTGGCTTAGGAGTGAGGGGAAGGGCTCAGGCATATCACCCCCCCAACCATATTAGTCACCCCACCTCCCTGACAGGTATCCTCTTTTTTGAAACTGGGTATATGATAACCCTAACAATAGGCCTACGCTGCTGTATTTCTGTGCTATTTGATCTTGGTTCAACAGCAACCGTGGAACCATTAAAAGACTGCAAAGCAGAAGGGAGGGTCATACTACTATAAACAAATACTCCAGCAATAGAAGAACAGACATCAAACTAAAGTACCACAGAGCAGTGTCAACAATGACATATAGCAAACATGAACATTGTAGGTTTGTTCCTTCAGTTTATGAATTCTCCAGTTCTCCTTACCAGCTTCTCATCTTGCAGGGAGAAGAAAAAGAAGCCATAGAGTGCATGAAGCTGCTCCTTGTGATCAATGAAGTCAAACATTGCAATCAGCCATCTTAAGAAGAGCAGCTGCAGAAAAATAAAATTAACCCTACAGTAAGTGAGGGAAGAGAACTTGACAAATCCAATAGCCTGTTCGATAGGACATATTCAGAAGTTCACATGGCTCCTTCTTGAGACCAGGAAGGCCACCATGTATGCATCAAGCTATTCAATCTCCTTGTTATGAAGCTAAGCTTGGTGAGAACAGTTAACACCAAAGTACAATAAAGACAATGTCCTGATTTTAAGCATATACGAACTCTAGGAAATTGATCAGTAAGTTTAAATTGCTTTGACTACCTTTCTAGCTGACCAGTGGGACATAGATGATTCCAAGACACAGACTTAAGTCTTTATTCATTCACAGTGATATTTTATTTAGCTCATGAACTCTGCTATCATAGCTGAGGAATACAACTGTGAGGTAAAATATTGTACTGCATTTGGAAGAATACTTGACACCACAGAGGCACATTTTACATCTGGGAAATTCAGAAGTATAAACTGAGCAAGACTGCATAATTCCCACATGACCCTACCTTTAGTCCTCAGAGTGGAAATGCTGATACAGTATTAGGCTTTTCTGAAAATCATGAAAAATGGCATGAGCTTGTGCGATGACTACACATAAAACTTCAAACTTCCTCTTCCTACAAGCAATGTGCCCTTGTCATCACCCTTCAGAAAATATTATTACTACTACAAGAATATGTAGTTACCTCGGTGCTACCTGAACACTTGCCTACACACAGCCAGGACACAGCTGAAACCACGGAACTTCCTGGTACTACAGATGCTGGGACTAGGCACTTCAAAAGTCGACTGTTCACCGCATCAGCTGAAAAACAGATGGTTGAAAGTAAGAGAGAACTGTATGTTCCAGGTTCTTTGGTCCATGCTTGCAGGTCAAACTATCACCATAGTTCTACCTGGAAAAGATTGCACATATGTATTCCTAGCTATTATACGCACTAGGAAAAATCTAAACAAAAGATTGATCTTTACTAAGAAAATTAAGGAGGAAAAAAAGCCCCCAAATTTAAACAAAGGTTTAAGACGGTTCAATCACCAAGAACTAGTACCCAGTTCTTTTTGCATCAGTTTTAAACAATTGAACTCCCTTGGCTTCAAATGTAGTTACTTTGGATTTATAGCAGTGCAACTAAAGAAGAAAAAATACCTCCAGCCTGTTGACAGGTATTGCTTAGATGCTTGAGATTTTATGAAATTATGGACTGGAGGAAAAAAATGAATTTCTTTAGCATTGGTATGAGATAAGAAGAATATCTGAAATCTGATCAGTATATTAGACTCTTATAGCTATTTCAGGCTATATGACCAAGTGGTCTAAAGACTACCATCGCTACTCTTCCACTCTATTTAATAGTCAGCTATTACATCCACTGCCAAATTTGACCTCATAGGCTTTGTCTAGGGAAAAAATAAATTAAGACCATCTTGGCATATAAGTACAGAAATAGTTTTAAGTCTTTAGCTAGTAACAAGCAAAAGCAACAAGATTTTTGGATGACTAAATCCAACAGAGGAATGAGCAACTTAATGTACAAGATAATAACATATTATGTGTTTGACAACGTGTTTCTATAATGTCCAAGCCATTACCTTGCAAAGCCTTTGCTTGTAAGTTTAAGATTAACAGATATTATTCAACATTAGCATATAAAAAACACTAACACACTTGCTTTAAAAATATCCCAACTAAAAAAAAAAAATTGTCAAATTAAATATGGTTAAATTTAGATTTTCTAAACAATTGTCCAGACTATAAAACCAATGGAAATGTTTCTGTGATTCTTTTAAAAACTTCAAATAAAATGCAGTTGAGTATATTCTAACAGAGTACCTGCATAGCATAGAGAAACTGGTTAGTGAAAAGTAGGTAACATTTGTACAGCTTCATTCTTAAGAAAGAAGCTTCTTTATTAAGAAAGAGCTTAAGCTTCTTAAGAGCTTCTTTCTTAAGAAAGAAGGAAGAGACTTACAGACAATGGAAGGTAGGGACTATATAGCAATGGCCATCACTTGTAGGGATCAGATTAGAAAAGCTAAAGTGGTGACTGAATTAGAATTGGCAATGGGAATCAAGGACAAGAAGTCCTTTAGGTACATCAGGAACAGGAGGAAAACAAATGGGAGTGTGGGGCCATTGTTCAACAACTCAGGACAGCTAGTTACTGGCACTCAGGAGAAAACTGAACTCCTGAATGACTACTTTGCTTTGGTCTTTCATTGGGCCACAGGAAAATTCATGCCAGCTAGGGTACAGAATGAGCCGGGTTCAAACGATTGCCTTCCTACTATTGCCATAGAACTGGTGTGTGATCAATTAAAGAAACTGCGTGTATGCAAGTCAGCAGGACTAGATGAACTTCATCCGAGTGCTGAAGGAGCTGGCTGAAATAATCATGGAGCCCCTAGCAAATTTCTTCCAAAATTCGCAGTGCTCCAGGGAGGTTCCTGAGGACTGGAAGAGGGCCAATGTTGTCCCCATCTTCAAGAAGGAGAGGAAGGAGGGCCCAGGTAATTATAGGCCAATTAGCCTAACTTCAATCCCAGGGAAAATCCTGGAAAAATTCATTAAGGAATCTATGTGCAATAAACCTGCAGAAGGTAGGATTCTGAGCAACAGCCAGCATGGCTTCATCATGGGCAGGTCTTGTCTTACCAACCTCATCTCCTTTTGTGATCAGGTGACTTGCCACCTTGATAAGAGAGAGGAAGTTGATATTATATACCCTGATTTCAAAAGCTTTCTGGATCTGGTATCCCACAATGTTCTCACGAGAAAATTAGAAGACTCTGGGCTCAACTGCAAGACAGTCAGGTGGGTAGGAAGCTGGCTGCAGGGTAGGACCCAGAGAGTTCTAATGGATGGATCTGTGTCATCTTTACAGGAAGTAGCCAGTGGTGTCCTCCAGTGCTATTCAACATCTTCACCAATGATTTGGATGTGGGGGTGAAGCGCTCACTGTGCAAGTTTGTAGACAACACCAAGTTATGGGGAAGTGCGGTCATGCTTGAAGATAGGCTGCAGATACAGGCGGACCTAGACAGGCTAGCAAGTTGGGCAGACTGGAACCAGATGAAATTCAATGTCGAAAAATGTAAAGTGCTCCCTCCACATGGGGACGAACAATCCCCAACACACCTACAGGCTTTGCAATGCCAACCTGACCAGCGCTACGAATGAAAGGAACCTGGGAGTAATAACAAACCACAATATGAACATGATCTGGCAGTGCAATGCTGTAGCCAGCAGGTCTAACAATACTCTGACATGCATCAATCAATGCATTTCCAGCAAAACCAAATAAGTGATTCTTCTGCTCTACTTGGTATTGGTGATACTGCAGCTGGAGTACTGCATCCAGTTCTGGGCACCACACTTTAACAAGGACATGGTAAAGGTTGAGAGAGACCAGAGAAGGGCCACCCACCGTATGATCAGAGACTTGCGCAGCAAGCCATACAAGGAAAGGCTGAGGGGATCTGGGACTGTTCAGCCGGAAAAAAAGAAGGCTGAGAGGGGACTTGGTAGCAGTTGACCACTACATCAGAGGTGTACATCAAAGGCTCAGTGAACAACTGTTTATCAGTGCACCCGTGGGGAAAACTAGGAGTAATGGTCACAAGCTCTTGGAAGACCGTTTCAGGCTCAACATTAGGAAAAACTGCTTCACAACTAGGATGTCAAGACTATGCAATAAGCACCCTTCAGAGGTGGTACAATCACCTACCCTGGAAACCTTCAAGAGGAGGCTGGATGGTCACCTTGCTGGGTCACCTGACCCCAGTTGTCTTTCTGCTTGGTGCAGAGGGCTGGACCCGATGATCTTCTGAGGTCCCTTCCAACTTTACAATCTATGAATTCATGGTTTTTATTCCAATACTTTATAGCAGGGGTGTCAAACTCCCTTAGCACCCATGGCTGGATCCAAATTGTAGACCTCTTCACAGGCCAGATCCAAACCCACTTCTATCAATGGGATGAGCAGCAGCAGTGTTAACTGCATGGGTTCCTGGGCTGCTGTCAGCTATCACTTGCCCCACTGCCCCTGAAACATGCCCCCAAGGGCTCTGTACCCCCAAATTCAGCAGTGGGGCTCTATCCTTGC